TGGGGCGGGAAGGCGCGCAGTCGGAGACGGGGGCGGAGGGCGCGCAGTCGCACGGTTGAAGTTGCTGAAGAGAGAAAGGTCGTGAAGTTGATGAAGAGAGAAAGGTAGCGTGAAGTTGCTGAAGAGAGAAAACAAAAACGGAAGAATGAAAACGATTATAAATCGTTTTCAGATTTTCATATAATAACAAGAACATTTTTGTTTTTAATTTTTCAAAAATTTAATGCCAAACGCGTTTTTTTAACTCGTTTTCATTTTTCATTTTCGAAAATCGTGAAAAATGAAAACGAGAAGGGAAACAAACAGGCCCTATATTTTAGTTGGCTCGTGATTTATAATGACAACTGTGGTGGTGACTAGACTAGAACACGGGAAGTTTTAGTACCATATGTGGAATTATTCAATAAGTACGTTATCTGTGTGTAGTTCCAATAGTTATTACGATCCTTGTCAATGCTCCCATGGTAGGTGAGTTCGAGCTGTATTTGTTATTAATATAATTATTAGAGGATTAAAATCTCTCTTAATTCCCATGATTCTATTTTATGGTGCTTTGTCTTTCTATATCTGATCTGACCCCACTTTTGAAAACTGAAAAGCTTATCGGTTTCTGTTGAATGCTTAAAGAATTAAAAAGGTCGACGAAGTTGGCGCAATGAAAGGAGATCAATTTTGGCCCCTACAGATTTCATGCCGAGTTATAGTGGCAGGCTTGGTTCCAGAAATTGATCAGAAAATCCAGGTAAAGCCCTACTATGTGCTGGCCCCATGTTAATTATTCTTTTTTTTTTTTTAATTCTCCACCCGGAAAGAATTATTCAACTTAACTATACTGGAATAATGCTAAAAAGAAACAGTTAATGATGTTAGCGAGTCCCACGGATAAAGTCTAGTGCTCCTTTTTTATTATGGCGCTCAAAACCAGTGATACAACTTTTTTTTTTTTTTTACTTATTCCCTTGAAAATGAAGAAAGAAACACACACGTTTTTTAAAGTCATTGTATATTGAACTACTAAGGTTAGAATATATGAATATAATGCTATTGGTGTTCATATTCATAAAAATTAAGACATCTATTTTAAGTTGTGGCTGAACGTCGACATTACATTCCACCCTTGTTATTCGTATCATTAACTCAGTAACATATATTTATGATATATCATGAGATGAGTTTTTAATGTTTACATTTTTATTGGTAGTTACGTATCTATTAAATATAGATAGTGTAGTGTGATTACCTACCTATTAGTAATTATAAATTTTTTTTAATCAACTATTCAATTTATTTTAATGGTCGGATTATAATATTGGTGGTGATAATATTCCAAAATATTTTAAAAATTACAAAGTTCAATCACGATATATCATATATCCTTTAGCTAATCAGCTGCTTTCAACTTGGGCGAAAACTATGCATTCAAAAGTAGTTCCTTTAAATTAAAATGATATCTTGTTCTTTTTTCTTAAAATAAAAAAAATAAAAAAAAATAAAAGAAGAAGAAGAAGAAGAAGGAGGAAGAAGAAGGATTAATTACAAAAACACATTCTTTTATTCTACATTATCATCATCATCGATTTATATTTCGTACTCCAGTATCTTACAAGATCTTCAGACAGATATATATAATTAACCCTAAAAACTTCCGGGGAGTTCATAACGTTAAAACAAGCAACATTACTTACAGTCTTACAGAACACATGACTGAACAAACATGATTCTTCATGAACTTAATGCGTAAAGTTTAAGGATCTTTGGAAGATGATCTCCCTAGAAAACCACCAGATGAAAACGTCTTACCCTCGGAAAACTGCCCGCCAGGTTCATGATATCCGATGTTCTCTACAGCTCCAACGGTCTTAAACAAGCGCCGCTTGTTTATCTCTTCAACAAGTGACCGGTGCAACAACTGACTACGCACGTCCACAAGTGACCGAATCCTGGTCAACTTGGGCGGCCGATGCTGTTGCTGCTGCTGCGGCTGATGATGATGATGTTTTAGGCAATAAGCTCTTGGAGAACCCCTCGGCGAGCTGCAATGATTTGAAGTAATCGCGATGTCTGCAGGTCGGAATCTCGTAGTTTTGTGGGCCATGGTGACGGGGAAAGGCTCTCCTATACCTTTGATATTTGCGTCATAGTCATCTTCATAAGTACCTGAGTAGTAGTTTACATTGGAGTAGTTGAAGGAGTTGAACGAGCTGACAGAGCTAGCATCATCATTTATGAACGGGTCATCTGCATATATATAAATTGACAAGTAAGAAATATTGTTCTGCATGAATCTCAACTTTTTAGGTGACGAAATTTTTATTGACATTTTTCCTACTGATACATGCCAAATTGTAGGACTATAAATCTCATAAATGAAAATTTGTAGGACTAATATTGAATGTTATATAGTTTTGTGCCAATGCTATTATAATGTGTACGCAGGACAAAGCCATGAAAATAAGCAGGGATTGGGAGCATGTTCTATAAATTTTATCAGATTTTACATACAAGTCAAATGACATATTTCACATATTATGAGATGAAGCATAGAATTTCAAAATTTTAAAGGCGGTCTAAAAATTTTAATCAAATTTCACATATAAAATTTATTAAAAAAATACAGGTGCCGCCTATCTTTGACTATATGTGTCTCCGCCCTTAATTGTTACGTATGCATATCTTCGATCAATACATATCAGAGGTGATATTGTGAAAGTCATTAATAGAACCTTAAAATATCAAGACCATTCCCAAACAACATTGAATTAAACGGCCATATATGATTGATTTTTGACAATTCAAGTACACAAACATTGTAATCTAAGACTTAAAACCCCGTTTTTTTTTTTTTTTTTTTTGACAGAACAATTAATTTTGGCCTAAAAATCATTTTTCGTAGCTTCTAAAGTCTGTTAATGCTCAAATTCTTACAATTCACTAGAGTAATATCGAAAGAATTGAGCAAAATATCATTAAACTAAATTTATAGAAGCAACGAATTATAAAGTTTTTATGAATTTCATAATAAACTAAAAAAGTACCTTGAATCCAATTCCTGTCGCAAGAAGTCATATTGTTCCCACGAAGAAAATGGGAAGAGATGAGAGCCAAGAGAGAGTTGGGTGAGGAAGAACATGAGGAAGAGTAGAATGGTCTGTTGTTAATATCATCATTGTCATCTTCCTCTTCTCCGTAGCTAAAGCTAATTTGCTCATGAAGATCTTGTTCTGATAGGGGTGAACCCCATTCCTTCCAACTTGGCACCAAAGAATATATCTGTTCCTCTATCATCTCCGCGATCTCCGGTGGTTCCCAGTCACTAATCTCCAACTCTTTTACCATCTCCGTCGCCACATCGATCGCAGTGTCATTGACAATGTCAAACGGGAAGTAAATATTCCTTGCGTTGTTCCCTGAAATACATCAAAACAACAAGCACCCCTACTCATAATGCTCAAGGAGGAAATATCACATGTATTGCAATATTTTTTTAAATAAGAAAATTGATTTTTTTTTTCCTTATCGATATATCATGACAAAGGCGTTTCTGCTAATATGCATGCTAAACAATACAAAGATTAAAGTATCCAACTAGTAGTGAAAATGTCTTAATCATCAAAATTTTCATCATATTCTATCAAATTTATATATATATATATATATATTGTAAATAAATTATTTGTAGGGTACATATTTGACATTCGATAGCACATATACCCATATATCGGTATTATCTACCTATCATAGTTCCCTAATAATACTTCTTTTTTTTTCTAATGTTGACCTCCAAGAATGTATGTATACATATATGTAATGTATATATATATATACATATATACATATATGTATATACTAGAGTCAATTGATGAGTAAACTTTGACAAAATAAAAAAAAATAATGTTGCGTAGATATCGTACTAGAATCATAACAATTTGGAATAGTACCATCCTTGTCAGAAATCTGAACTTTTAGAAAAATGGTGTCGTCTTCAGGGCTCATCGTCCCGGTTATGGTCATGTTTGTGGTCCTATTTAGATAAGGCTCCACAAAATCTTCCTCCTTGTGCATAGTCCCATTGAAAAGAGACGATTTATTCATTTGGGGTCTCGGAATAGGCATGTTCAGCTTTTGTTCTTCATCGTCACAAGCCAGAAACGGGTCAAGCAAGAGCTCCCGAGCTGGCAGCCTCTTCGAAACATTCTCTAAACATTTCCCCACAAATATCTGGGCTTCTGAGTTTTGAATCCTGTAGAATGCTTCTGGTAATTTTCCCTGAAGTAAATGTGCTAGTCAGATTATGAAAATGAGAAATTTTGGTCATATACAACCGTGGAGCGAACAAGGCATGTGTATCCCTCATATTATGAAGAAAATAGTACTTTTATTGAGTGGTGGAACCACATCACACATTGCCCGTACTTTTTTTAAAGTTTTGATTTTCGGCCTTAAGTTTTCAAAAACTCTAGTTGTACTTTTATTTTACTAGAAACAATAAGACTTTGTCCTCACTCAATTATTTTGAAGTATATCATTTTGCCTCTGTTTCACAATAAAAATTAACGATAAAATTAATTTGGTACCTGTGTTATAGCAAAACATAGTCTTATTACCTTATTTTTTTGATAATATTCAAATGGTAACTTGATGTTTTTAAAAACATCTTCTTGATATCTTAAAGTTGATTTTTAGGACATGTAATGTCCAAACTACTCTCCTTATTAATTAGATAGAATCAATATTTTTTTTTAAAAAAATCTAAAAATATTTTAAAACAATAAAATATTTAAAAGAAAACAACAAAATAAAAAAGATTTAATATTTTTTTAGTTAATTAAATAGAAGAGCACTAAGGTCATTTTACGTCTTAAAAATTAGCTTCAGGGTACGAAGAAAATGTTGATGTGCCGTTTTAATATTATTAAAAACACAAGATATTAAGAGCATATTTCACTATAACATAGAATATCAAAATGATTTTATCCCTAAAATTATAACCCTACTCCCACTTAACAATGAAAGTAATATAACTGTCTGCATTCAATAAACTTAAGGAAAAAATAAAATAAAATTTTGGCTCCACCACTAGTTATAACTATGTCTATTTATAAAAGATGATCTCTAATTTTTTTAGTGCCCCGATAAAATATTCCGGTTCGGCAACAGGTTATATATGTGTGTGTGTGCGTGCGCTTACATACTGATGAACATCACATATGTAATTGAGTGATGAATTAAGGGAAAAATCGAACTCACTGAAGTAACTTTCTTGTAGATTTGGGCAGAATTGGAACACTCGCAGTAAGGGTACTCGGAAGTAAGCATCTCTAGAACACACATTCCAAAGGAGTATATGTCTACTAATTCGTTATATTCCTCCTCGTACAATTCTGGCGCCATAAACTCTGGAGTACCTGTATAAAGAAACATATATTTATTAAAACTACTATGAGTTAGTTTTTTTGTATTTTTTTTTTTTTTTAAGATGTACGTAGGAGCTGTTAGTTGAATCTCAGTTAATGAAATAATGTACATGAGTCCAAAAACTTAATAAATAAAGTTATTATAAACATATTCATGTAATTACGTTTATAAACTCAATGAGATAAAAATAAAGAGGTTAGTGATCATATACGCATGAAGGTCTTTATTGTTAGGTAAGTATTTGTTTTTGTATCACGACTAGCGATAACATTATCTATAATGTGAGGTAGCTTATAGACGTTATTATATGGTTAATTGTGACCAGCATTCCCATGTAATATAGTCGCATAAAAAACCGCAAGAGCTATTTTATTTGTTTTTTTTTTTTTTTTTTACTTTTTTTAAAGAATATGCCTTATATATAGTGCATGTTTTTTAATGATAGATCTGGCCACGGTTATAATAAAATTTCAAAAAAAAAAATGTAAAACTAAACAAGACGTATCTGAGTTTTTATTTTTTTATTTTTATTTTTTTCTAGAAAATTAGAGAGAGAATTGCCTATAACGCTGTGGGCATGTTGGGACCCACGAAGAATTGCTGCCAAGCCCAAATCACCAATTTTGACTTGCCCAAGATGACCATTCACAAAGATGTTGTCACACTTGAGGTCTCTATGAATCACAGGTGGGTCATGGCCATGCAAATGCTCAAGGCCAAGTAAGATTTGACGGGCCCAATTCTTCACTGACCGAAGATCCACTCGCGGGTACTTCTGCCGGTACCTACACCATATCAATACATCACCTTATATCACAAAATAAGTATGCAATAGTATCAAATTGAAATTAAAGCAAAGCATCATTACTAGATAAGATTTTTAAAGTGAATATATTATTACTCTCTGAGGGTGCCGGAGGTAAACATTTCAGTGATGAAGTTGAAGTTTCTCCTGTCGACATCAATCCAAGAAGTGTGGAATCTTATGATGGAGTCATGATGGAGGTTCTTGAGGAGATGAACCTCAGAGTAAAGCCTTTGTAGTTCCTCAGGGGAACGAAACACATCATTCAGCTTGATTTGGTTCCATGCCACTTCCATTCCAAGAACCTCATCAAATGCCCTGTAAACTACCTTCATTGCTCCTTTCCCCAGAACTTCTCTAAACTGCAAAAAATTAAATATATCAATAATAGCCATAATAATCATTAATATCACAATCATAAGAATTAATAAATAATGGAGTCATAACAAATCAAAAAACCCTTTTAAGAGTTGTAATTGAAGACGTGGCATTCATCAGAAGTCTTGATAATTAAAGCACACAAGGATATGGCGTAAAGTACTCTTTTTTATTAGAAGGAAACTAAACACTAAAGATAAGAAGTTAAGAATTGGAGCACTCTGCCTCTCTTTAAAAAATTATAAAAAAAAAAAAAAAAAAAAAAAAGCCCCAACCGAGAATGGTGGCCCTCCCCCCTCCTTTAAAAAAGTAAAAAAAAAAAAAAAAAAAAAAAAAAGAGCCCTAGCCTAGAAACTAATTCAACCAGACCTCATATACTAAAAATGAATATTGATTCAATGGATCACTAATGTTAAGCATTATATCTAATAAAAAGTGGACTCCATTTATGAGATTCGTCCCATTCGCGAGTGCGGCATACTTAGCACTACCGGTGTCTTTAGCATTGTTCTATTAAAGTTGCAAATTAAAAACAGACCTGATACAAATGTAATGGGTTTAAAACAAAATCCTCTTGATTGGGTATTACCTTTTCTTTTTATTATTGAAAGGGATAGGTTATTACTTTTCATATTACTCTTAATTTATTTCCTTTTAAATAAAAAAATACAACTAAAAAAACAAAAGGCAAAAGCTGCTTGAAGGGGCAAACGGCAGGGACAAGGTCAGAGTAGAATAAGGCGGACTTGGTG